TAAATAAAAACAAGAATTATGAGAAAATCAAGTATTCTCAAGAAATCCCAGAAATTTACAGGGCTGCCATAAGACTAGAATGCATCAACACTGATTACATTCCCATACCAAACGCATGGAAGTATTATTTAGACTCCTAAAGGAATATACATTGCTTACAATATGTCACAACCATTGTTCAAACTGATTTGAAACATGTGAAAATTAGAACGCTGCTACATTCTATAAATAGAATAGTTATTTTCGTTTGACATTTCCTGAAGAAGGCCGATAAAGGAGTGTCCAAAAATGTTCAAATATTGAATTTGGGTGTTTCATTGCTGGAAATTTTACGTTTAGGTGAGATTCTATTTATCTAGTTCTATTGAAACCTCTTAACCAATGTGCTGAGAGGATTTGAAGAACTTTTAAGGTTGGTTAGCACCATCTGAGTTTTATCAATTCAATTTAAAGAAGATAATGTTGAGATAAGTAAAAATTTTTTTGACTTTTGAAGTAGAAAATACATTATATTATGTAGTGTGTTTACTGGGATCAACAATCCAGTTTGACTTAAGGAGAGAATTCAGAAAAGAATTCAAGATTAGATGTTTTACTTCATATTACAGTGGTACCTCAGGATACGAAATTAATCCATTCTGAAACTGAGATTGTATCATGAAAATGTCGTAAGGTGGATCATCTTTTCCCATACGATTACATGTAAAACCAAATAATTCGTTCCAACGCGAAAAACATACTCAAATTAAAGCCAANAATACCTGATTAAAGGGTGGCCGAAATTTTTCTCCGCCCCGGGCGGCTAACACCCACGGTACGCCACTGCGCATCTGAACTCGTCTATCAAAAAATTGGCGCATGGTATGCAAAAGGTTGGCCACCCCTGATCTAAAACAATTCATGCATCTTATAGTGCATAAACTCAAAGAAAATATAAATGCTAATACGATTATTTTTTCATAATTATTTTCTCCAAAAAATCACATAATTATTTTGTATCCCTAGCATTTAAAATAATAATAATCACTTATTAAAAGTGGAAGTACTGGTATATGAAATCCTAAAACACTGAATAAATAAAATTCATACATCTTAATACAAATCAGTTTTAAAAAATTACACACATAAGAAATTCTAATCAATTCATTAATGTTATTCAAACATTAGACTATTCATTTTGAAACAAAATCAATGTTAACATTCATACAAAATCAACATAATTATAAAAACAGCACCAAAATTAGAATAACATTATAAAAACTTCATACACAAAATATTCATTTTTTTCTCTACTGGATTATGTTAAAAGGTTATTAAAGCATTTATAATTAGTAATATTCTCTTACATTCATAAAACTGAAAAATAAATATGGATAAACTAATGAAAAACATCCGAAATTATAGACGAAAATTTATATTTTAGAATATTGATGGACAATTTAACCAGAAAGATCATAGTGTTTTAGATTATAAAATTTTTGAAATCATTTCCATTTGAAAACTATGGATTTGAAATACAGACAACCCTTAACCAGGACTCAAATTGAGATAATTCAGTCATTTTTTTTCCCCAATTATCTAGCATAACATGTTAAATCAAACTGGTTAACTCAAATTCCTCAAAACTTTTTAACTCAAAATCTGAATTTTTCCACAACTAATTCAAGTTAACCAGACTCCACTGTATGAAAAAACAGGATAAAGTTAGGATAAATTTTTGCAATCTAGGTTTTTAAAACTTAAAATATAAAATTTATAAAAATTTACAATGTGATAATTTCAAATTTTTAAACTGGACTAATCTAGATTTTTAAAATGTTACTATCCTTGCTTAATATTTACAAAGCAATCATTCATTGTCTGAAAAATTGCTTCAAGAAATAAAATTCTTTTCATTTTTACAGTTAATCATTTTTAAATTTCTCTGTATTCTGTAGAAGTTTCTCATAATTATCACTAAATTAAATATATTTAAGCATAATAATGCCATCAAATAAAAACTTTTTAGTATTAATACAAGTGAATAGCAACTAATAGAGAAATGATAATTCTTGTTAATCTACATCTAACTTCCCAAACAGACAATAAACAGTCTATATGTTAAATGTAGTGTGTTTAACATTTATCAATAAAATAAGGAAGTCAAGACATTACTCTTGTGTGGATGTGTTACCATGTTACCATGTTATACTTAATGAAGCTTTCTATTTTTTCATAGACAAATAATAAGGAATAACTCATTTAAAAAAATGGTGTGACTCTTATAATTTCTAACTTTATATTTATAATGTACATAATGATCATTTGTTTGAGTGCCACCTATACAGGGTAGGATGCATCCCGATGACTCAAAATCATATAGCAATGCAGGGTCAGAAATTTTTTCCTGAAGTGGTGATGTACACAGAAACAGCTAACCTCTGGTGCAGACTTGCAAAGAAATTATGGCTAGGAATACACCTCATCAGATATCGTTCCACATACAAGTGCTGTGCAGCGGGCCCACTACAATCTGCAGGCCCGTACACCAAATGCAAATCGGCTAACTCTACATCCTTGTGCGAAATGACAATTCCCTGCAAGAACACTCGGAACTTTCACGCAACACCATCTATCACGTCAGGAAAGCATTTCCGACCCCACATTGCTATATATGATTCTGAGTCGTCGGAACAATTTTAAAAGATATGATTAATATTCCAAAAATAATGAAATTATAATAAAATTGCTTTAATGGAACAGGAAGCATACAAAGTAGGATGATGAGAACTAGTACTCAAAAGCATTTGAACATTTTTCTTTAAACTCTGATCTTTGTTAAATTTAGTAGAATAACTTAAAAATTCATTTAATAATATTGAAATAAATAAATCACATTGCAATTTATAAGCTTATTGTCATACTTATTTTTCAAAATATAAGAATTATCATCTAAAACAGGGGTGGCCAAACCGTGGCGCATGCGCCAAACTTGGCGCATTGGACGATTACAAGTGGCGCTTTAGTCAGTTCTGAGCAACATTGCCAGATTTGGCTTCTTTGCAATTAAGAATATTACATAGAAAATTAATTTTTTATAGTCTGTCTTGGCAAGTTCATTTGTTGCACAATTCGTTGCAATCAACTTTACAGATAAAATGAGTGTTCTCCNATACATTTCTTAAATTTTATTTTTATTTAAAACAATAATTTTGATCATTTTAAATTTTATTAACTATTTAAATAGATTTCATGTTAAAATAAATAATAAAATGAAACAAATTACAATGACCATTCCCTTAAAAATAATTTTTGATAATATATACATTTTTATTAATGAAAATTTTATCCAAACCGCATTGTCTACTAATTAACATAACATAATAGCATAAAAATAATTAAATAAATATGCAAGGTTATAAAAATAAATCTAATTATGCTTGTGTTTATAGTATTTTTTGTTTTTATTTTCATTATCATAAATTTCTAGTTTTTTTATTTAACAAAATTTTGATTATTGTGGAAATTATTAAAATTTTTTGAATATCAGTAAAATCTCTCATTTTAAATTAAATATAGTAAAAAGAAAATAGAATTTCGGCATTTGGTTGGTGTCTAGCTATATTATATATCAGGTCTAGCGATGTTGTTTCTATATTTAAACTACTTTTAACAAAAAACAAACACACAAACATATTTTAATATTTTCCGACCAATATTCATCTTTGGAGATTTAACAGTTTTAAAATATTAATGCAAAAATAGTAAAGCTAAAAATTTTTTAAATGAAAATTTCAAAGCTATATGACATCACTAACTCTAGATTAATCATCTTATTAACTATTCAAAGTGTTTTCTTCCAATAACACAGAATTTGCATTCTGTGTTTAACTATTCAATTATTTTAAGACTACAGTATTATTTTCTAATTATCTAACATTATAACATACATATTAATATACATCAACATATTTAACATATACATATACATTACATTTAACATATACATATACATATACATTATCAACATATACATATTTAAAAAAAAATTACAGTTTAAAAATCAAAAAAAATTAATTAATTTGATATTTTGTAATATTTTCTTTCACAACTTAAATTTTAATCATTTGTTTTATTTACATTACATTCTTTCATTACAGTAATATAAATATTTTTGTAATTAAAATTAATGCTTTAACAACATTAAAAATGTTTCTGCAATAAAATATGAATAACTAAAGGCATAGTTCTAGTTTTTCAAAATAAGACAGTTCTGCTCTCAATAAACGAAAACCAAACCGAGAAAATTAAAACGAAATACTTTTTAAGTATACAGGTTAGATTCAGCATTTTAGAATTTAGATTTTTCAACTTTCAACAACTTCATTATACCAATGCTTGGCCACTTTTAATTATATACTACAAAAAGATATTCAATACTGCTCTTAAAATTTGTACTCTAAACTGATTCATTTCTTACCATTGTTGACTTTTCAAATTAAAACATTGGTTATTCAGAAAAAATCGTGTACATTTTCATATTTAACATAAATTATCTGAGTGAAGCTAATTTTTAATTTTAGTTTTTATTTATCCATTTAATTTTATCAATTTATTTAAGCAAGCAGCTTTTTACACTCACTTATAAGACAAGCTTAGCATATATTTTAGTAAATATGAAAATATGGTTAATAAATCTATATTTCAAGTGAATCGGTTAATGATATACAGCATTTAAAAATAAAACCTCGTATGCCTTCAATGATATTTGATACACAAAACATTAATAAAATATCAATTTACTACTTTATATAATTATTACAAATGCAATTATACCCATATTTATGCAACTATACAAACATTTATGTATAACTGCATAATTATAAAAAAAGAAAAAATAAGACCCACCGTCTTATAATCTTAAATTGACTTTAATCTAAATTATAATAATGAAATAAAGGATTGAAAATTAAAAAACAATTTAGTGAATATTAGAGGCCTGAGATGATTGTATGACTCACCTGATATGGTAACATAACATTTCCATCCCTGATATCTTCTGAGTTAGTGACATCATATCCAGTATTAGAAGGGATATTATGAGGAAATGGTTTTCCAATAGGTAAAGATGTACTCCTTTGGAATTTGGACGGTGATATTAACATTGATGGCTGACCTATGGCTGGAGGTGATTTCTTTAAAGGTGAAATGGGATTCAGATTTGGCACAGACCTCTTCTGATTATTCCAAGCAGATAATGTATTTTGAGTTTGAGACGTAGTCCACGTCGGATTACTCCAATTCGCGTATGTTTTGTACAAATTCGGTTGCCTATTTTGACTGAAATTATGTGCACCTGTTATAGCCCTTCTCTGGGGTTGAGGGAGAATCTGATTGCTCAAGTTCGTATTTAAAATAGAGTTAGCCGTTATATTCTGAAAGGGAATTTGTCCATTAAGAACAGGGAGTCCCTGCAAGAAGGCATCATCCGTCGACCAGAAATTTGATGCTGTAGTTGACGGTTCCGTAAATCCGAATTGTTGCAAAGGTGAAGACGCGGTAACAGATGTCGACGTTTCGGTAGTCACTTTCTTATCGTTTTGTCCATTCACAACCTCTTCGCTTTTCTCATCGCTGTTCTCATTCAACTGTTTCTGATTCTTTTCTAGCAATAACTCATCTTGCATTTCGCTTCCCGGATAGAATAATGACGTCGTGGCGCTCGTCTGCTGGTAATCGATAGTCGGCGACAACGTTCTTACGGTAGTCGTAACGCCGTAATTATAATCCCCCATCAAGATTTGAGTTCTGGATCCGTTTGTTTTTTCCACAACAGAACCAAATGACTTTCTTCGTCTCCAATGCGTTCCGCTACCAAGGCAACCAAACGATTCTGCGAATGCACCTCGCGCATCACTCCCCCCTTCCGCTTGCAATGGAACCTGGAAGGAAGAGATAAGGCGACCTCAAGCAGACGAAAATCGATCTTCTATTTTTTTAAATTAATATTCAATACGTAATTTACTTTTTATATTCTTACTATTAATAATAACTAAATATTTAGAAATTTTCCTAACAAAATTTCTCAAACCTAACTGATATTATTAACCTTTAATAAACCTATTAATATACACTCGATATCATTATTAATTCTATTTTTTACTCGCAGCAAAATTATTTTCTTATATTATTAAAGTAAATTACAGTACAATTAGAAATAAAAAATAATGCACATAAGATTATTTTATTTTGTGCTAAAAAAACAATAATATTGTCAATTATTGATAAGAAAAAAATGGTAAAACTGTTGATATGTTTCATAATTGTTTAAGTGTTTTAAATATGAAATGTATAAGCCAACCTGAAGTTCTCTTAGTACCAGTCTGCAGGATTTGTTAAAAGATCTTTCGGTTCTCAGGACAGAGAGAATTATATTTATATTATACAGCATATATAATATGCTAACAGAACAATATTATGTACTGAGATAGACTTTTGCCGTACATTCTACTTCTATTAATAAAAATTCATTTATGGTTATTACATTCACGTGTCTTTACCATGGATGACTTATTGATAGAAACCAAATAGTAGCCTATATCTATATCAGTATGCAATACCACTATATCTTTGCATATTGTGGTAGAAATAAGATGTACTGTAATTTATCTATTACCTTAGATCAGTGGTTCTCAACCTTTCTGAGGCCGCGGAACACCCTTCGTATACTTTTTATTACACGGAGCATTAACATCAATACATTCAAAAATTGATAAGCAATTCCATGTTTAGTATTCTCGGGAAACAATAAAGCAATAAACTTTAATATATTGAATAAAATAGAAACATGGAATTATCTACGAATATAGCAGTGGGAATAAATTTGAATAAAAACTTTAAAATCTTTTTTTTTTTTTTTTTGTGAAACACTCGAGGCAGGTAATCTAAGGCAGTGGTTCTTAACCGGTGCCTTAGATTAATAAATACAAATACAGTAATTCGAAAAGTTTTAATTTTGATTTCTGTACAGAATATAATTCTGAAATGTTTTCAACGTGAGTTTTGCATTTCTCTATCTGTTGATCTCAGAAATTGTTCCTGTAGGTCATTTTATTATTTTTAAAAACTGTTTTATAATAATAAATTTATAATAACTACGTATTTTTAATTATTTGGCGCTCTTTCTGCCCCGTAAGGTTCTAGAGCAGCGTTTTTCACACAACCCAATATGTAAAGGGCCTAAAACCACAAATAAAAAAACAACCCAATATGTTGGATTGTAGTGACTCCGCCACCCAAATATTTATAATAAAATTTTTAAAAACATGGTAAACTGGAATCATTGTATATTATATAACGAAATAAAATTATGCATTACTGATAATAACTTCTAGGTGTAAAATGTAACATTGCGTACATTTCTATTATGATCGGTTCGGACCAATTTTGATTTGTAACAAATAACTTAAATTTCAATAATAAAAACTGAAATTAAAGTAACTGTAAAAAATATGTAAGACTGACGATTGTAAATAAAAGATAGTCGAAATTATTCAGGAATCTATTTTACTTTGAAAAATATTACAAGTTTTTTTTTATAAACTTACTGAACCCTTTTTTAAAATGTACTTTTTAGATTATATGATCTTGCCAGATTAATTTTGTATATACACACATAAAAAACTTTAAAAATTATTTATTCTTCCACTTGTCCATTATTCAACCGTTATTTTTTATAATTTATTGTTACGTATGACAATAAACCAGGGCTGTGGAGTCGCGTAAAAATCTACCGACTCCGCCTTTTCCTTACCATCCGACTCCGACTCCGACCCGACCAGGGGCAGACTTGTTACCGAAAGAGACACGGAAATTCTGATGTCATTACGTGACTTCAGAATAAAAGATTCAATAAACAGAGATCTAATAAAGATAGACGTAGAAACTTTTTATTCCAAAGCTAAAAGACTTCTCTAAGTATATAAATATGTATTCGATCATTTTTACTTTTCCGGCTGTTATATATAACAGATGGAAGGTGTAGCGCTCTGTCAAAAAATGACTCTTCCCAAATTTTTACATTTTTGGACTCGGGACACCTTGAAATTTCGAGATATGCAGAAGATTCGAGGTTTTTTCTATATGTGTGGATGTTAGACTGTGTGTGTGTGTGTGGAGCATGATTTTGTTCACCCTGTTTGAAGCCTAATAATTTCTGTGGTCAGAGTGGTCAGAATCGGAGTCAGATGGTTTAACACAGGAGTTAGTTATTAAGCGTCAAAGTGGTTGAACTAAATCATGTCCCCATATACATTCTAACATCTTAGGCGAGGACATCTTAACGGGTTTTACTGTACTATTATAAAATGGCAAAAAAGCTTACTTTGAGGGTAAAGACGAGTTTTATTTTATTTTTTTAAATTTTGAACGCTAATAACGAGTAAAATATTCATTAAGAGATATGACACATGACCACTTTTATGTCTTCACCCTGTCGACCTTTAATTAAGAACCAAAATTTAATAGTATTAATGCTCCTTTATACGCAAGCCGCAGTGTCACATTTCGTTTCTTAAACTTTATCCGTTCTGAGATATTGTTTGATATCTCAGAACAGAAAATAAAGAAATTAAACAAATTAGACGCCAACACACACGCGCGCGCAAATTTTTCCCCTTTATTGACTTTTTTCAGGGGGTTCGAGAGGTCTCCAAACTTGTGGATTTGCAAAAAAAAACTTGGAGGGTCAAATTTGACACGATTCCAATACTTTTCCGTTTTATATACATAACAAGTTGGTAAGTAAAAAGGAGTCGGAGTCGGCGGATTTTTTGAAGACTCCGACTCCGACTCCGACTCCACAGTCCTGCAATAAACCTAAAGGTTTGAATAAACATAGAAATATTTTCAAAATCATTGCAACTTAAATTATTTTATGACTACGATCTTACATAAAAGATATTCTATTTTGATGTTATTCAAAACAGAAAAGATAAATCAATTTCATATACACACATTCTACAGGCTTAATTTTATTACTAAAAGACAATTGCCGGATGGCCGAGCAGTCAAGGTAGCAGCCTATCGCTCTGGAGAGATCGAATTCAGACGGGTCAAAAAATCCCAGAAATTTTTCGGGGATGGTCCGTCCGGATATGTCGGGCCCCATTTCTTACCATCCGGCCGCTCCATTATGGGCATGGCCGAATCCATAATGGGCTCGCTAACAGAGACCCTGTTAGTGCCCACAGAGTGCGAAAGGTTTTTTTTTTTTATTTTAAGTAGTTTGTTCTAACTTCATTTGTTGTTGTGTTCAGGGCCGGATCATCGCATAGACAAATGAGACAAATGTCTAAGGCCCTGCTTTTAGAAGTCCCTGGTCAAACTCTATTTTGAAAAAATTTGTAAATAAGATAGTTTACTTTTCTGTTGGACAACTGTATAATACTAGTAAAACTAGCAAAATATTACATTATTTAAATATTAACCAAAAAGGTTACATTAAACAAGTAAAACGGCAAAACCGTATTTGGGACACGACTATGTCTCGGAGACAGTACTAAGCGGAATCACTTTGACGCTCAAAGCTGATCTTCTCATTCTCCAATCTTCTTTGGATCGCTGCTTTTGGGCGCGATCGTTCAAACTTCTCAGGCCACGGCCACGAGGTCGTCCACGATACATTTTCGGTGAAATTAACCTATCCAATTTCGAAATTTCTCTGTTGCAACCCGTCTACCCGGGTTGAATTTTTGTCGATGCCTAACGAAAATTTCCCGTTTTTGAAAAAAATAGTCTCCATTTTGTATTTTACTTTGACTCGGTTTTCGGTTCCCTCAGTACCTACAAGTCTGGTTTTTTTATGCGCGCATGATTCGGGCACTTAATACTCTGTGCAAAATTGTAACTCCTGATATGTACTCTTTCATACCTCTAAGCTGGTAACACAGCAGGCAGTACGATTTTATAAACAAGACATAGTCTTGTTGAAAATTAATATTTTAAGGTAATATTGTTATTGTATAACAACTTCTGTTAGACATTTAATAAAATAAATTTCAATTTTTTAAATTTATAAACAAACTGTTCAAACTTTTCTAGAAAACTAAAATTTATTGTTGTGTATTAAATATTTTTTATTAATAAAAATTTAAGATTTGTTTTAGTTTTTCACATTATTTAGTTTTGATTTATTTATTGTTTTATATTTTTTTCTGTGTTCTAATTCTTGTGAGAGGGGGAGAGGGCCCGGTAAGAAGAAAATGTCTAGGGCTCCAAAGTGGGTTAATCCGGCCCTGGTTGTGTTACATTCATTTATGCAAACGCGCGTGTTTTGCGATTTTCTTTCAGACAGCGCAAGTGAGTGAAAAGCATCTGGCAGGTCTAGGTCTGATGTTTTATGATAAACATCATCATTTGGGATGAGACATGGGTCGATGGGTACGATGTGGAAAAAAGTCAGTCATCAGAGTGGGTGGGAAGACCCTCACCGCGACCCAAAAAGGTGTGACAAGTTCAGTCGAATGTGAAGAAGGGCTTGCTCAGTATATTTTTTTCGATTCTGAAACTGTCATTTACCATGAATTCTACGCAGAGGCGATGAAACGACTTCGTGAAGCAGTGAGGAAGAAAAGGCCGACTACTCGGAGAGAACAGCATCAAGACAATGCACCTGCCCACACATCATTGTCGATAACAGAATTTTTGTCCAAGAGTTCAACGCCACTTGTTCTTCAACCTCCATATTTACGGAACTAAGCCACAACATACTTATTTTTTGTTTCCCAAATTAAAATCTGCTCTCAAAAGTCGCCGTTTTGAATCTATTGACACCATTAAAGAAAGTTCGCCAGCGGAACTGTGCATTATTCCAAAAGAAACGTTTCAACAAACATTCGAAGTCTGATAATTAAATCGCCACATTATGTTAATTTTAAAGGAAATCACAACTTACAATAATACTTAATAAACATGACAGTATTTACAGTACAACTTACTAAATAATACACTCGTAGCAAAAATGTTACTCACCACGGAGGCGTTGGAAACGAATTAAACTTTATTAGTACAACGCAATGACAATGGTAGTAAGTGATTACAATATTAAAGCAAGGACAAAATTTCTTGTGGAACAAAGGTACAATTGAAACAACTTTTAGTACCTTACCTTGTAGGATTTCTTTCCTGGATATATGCGACAATGCGAGCTTGCATTGAAGCAAACAAGCACCTTAGACTATCCTGCAACAGACTTGTCCACAAGTGTTGCAACTGCTTTCCAGATCTCTCACACTCATAAACACTCTCATCTGGTTCCAGAAATGCTCAATGAGTGACATACCTGGATCCCACCAGCGGCCAAATAGAAAGAACCACTGATCGCAGGATTTATTCGCATTTGTAACACATAAATAGAGGCGGTTTTCCAAGGAAAGTCCTCCCTAGAGGCATTCTCCTTAACAGATCGTTCTACTATCGCCTTGCCGTATGCAAACACAAAACAAATCTGGAGATTGGGCAATCTAAAGAAATGTGGCAGTACGAAGAAGACATTCCTGGAAAACCTGAGCTGTGTGCGGTCGAGCATTATCTTTCTGGAAATTTGCTGTTTGCAGTCTTGCCATAAAAGGCAACACATGAGGACGAAGGATTTCCTGAACGTATTGCTTTGTTGACAATGACTCTCATACCACTATCAGGAGTGACCAACTGACAGTGGTGTAGCGTAGTGAGGGCGGCAGGGGCGGGCCGCCCCGGGCGGCAAAATTTCACAATAAATAATAATAATATCTTGTAAAAATTTGAACCATTTCATTTCATATTTTTGTCGCACCTACGATTCGGACCGATTGAAATGAGCACGGAATTTTTTTATTACTTAATTTGTGACGAAACTGAATTTTAGTCTTTTAAATTGAGATACTTAAATAAGGGAGCGGCGAAATTTTCCTCCGCTCCGGCGGCTGACACCCACCTACGCTACTGTCTCAGCCACATGATTATTTATTTGTAGTGTACTCAGGTTAGTCTGATCCGTACCATACTCAGTACGTTGTTGATTTTTTTTCGGACAGTGTTTTTTTCTTTTACATAATATAAATAATATTCTTGTGTTTTTATTATAGTTATAGTTAATTGGTGAAATTTTTTGTTTCAACCTGTGAAAATATTTACAATGAAAAAAACTATATTTTGACCTTTGTCATGTTATGAACCATATTGTTGAAGTTAAAATCCATTGCTGGAAATGGAAAAAAGTAACATCCTTCCTTCAAAAATAGACAAAGAAAACATGCCAGTAAATGAAAGAGACTAATATGTAGAAACCCATTAGAATATGTACAAATTGTGCACTATATGCATCGTTCTGGATAACAAAAGTCTATTGACAGCCGGATGGCCATCTTTTTTCAAGATGGTAGCCTACCGGGAATCGAATCCGGACGAGTCGAAAAATCCCCAGAAACGGTCCGTCCGGATATGTCGGGCCCCGTCCCTCACCACCCGGTCGCCCCATTGTAGGCCTGGCTGAACCCATAAAGGACTGCTAAAAACAGGCTCTCTTAGTGTCCATAGGGCAAAAAGAGTATATTAACATGATATATATTAACATGAATTAACACTTATTCGTTATGTTGTAGACAACAACCTTAGACAGTGAAGCCGTGAGCCTGAAGAGGGATTGGAAAATTACCAATCCGAAATGCACTGTTAAATAGGCGAAATAAAGTGAACTGTTTTTATTTTGGTCTCTGTTGCTTGCGGATAATTAAGAAAGAAGCGATAAATGCCATTAGTCTCACTATTGGAAGAAGAAACCTTTACTTATAACTATTTATATTTTTAATTATTATCTAATGGCAAAAAGGATCATTTTGAGTGTAGTGATGAGTTTAAAAAAATGTAAATATTAATTAATAACGAATAACACCTTCATTAAGTCCTACATCTCTGGAGATATGATACATGAAAACCCTCTGTCTCCTCCCACCCAGTGGCGTAGCGTGGGTATCAGCCGCCCGGGGTGGAGGAAAATTTCATCGTCCCCTTATACAGGTATCTCAATTTAAAAGACTAAAATTCAGTTTCGTCACAAATTAAGTAATAAAAAATTCCGTGCTCATTTCAATCGGTCCGAATCGTAGGTGCGACAAAAATATGAAATGAAATGGTTCAAATTTTTACAAGATATTATTATTATTTATTGTGAAATTTTGCCGCCCCCTAAAAGTGCCGCCCGGGGCCTGCCCGCCCCTGCCGCCCCCACTACGCTACGCCACTGCTCCCACCTTTAATATTAAGGAGCTATAATGCTATTAAATAATAATAAGGAGTATTGTTGCTATAAAATTAATAAGGAGGAGCATTAATGCTCCTTATACACAAGCTATCATACCAAATTTTGTTTCTTACAGACTCCAACACATATACATGAAATATTTGTTCCTTTTTTTACTTTTATTTTTTTGGGTTCAGGAGATATCAAAACGTGGAGTTTTACAAAAAATCTGAGGGTCAAATTTGACACGATTCCAATGCTTTCTCTTGTTATGTATATATCACAGTCGGGAAAGTAAAATTAAGAATGTGTAGAAATGCATTTAACTTAGCGTTACAGAATATTTTGTCTTGTTTAGAAACGTTTAAATAAATGGTTAAAGAAAGAAATGTCTTATTATTTACTTTCAAAATTAAAAAAAAGAAAAAAAGGCTGATGTGTATTCAATTTTCTTCCATAATGGCGTCGCTACAGCCACTGTATGTAGTATATTCTAGTTCGTTGCTTTGCTCCCAAATCAGTTCAGTTTATCAGGTAACCACGCTTATACTTAAGAGATCGTCGAAATTCTACAGAAAAATCGAATTGTACATCATTTCCTTGAAAATATTTTGCTGGTATTCTGAAATTTATTTAAATAAGTAAATACCGGTGTCCTAGTTAAAGATACAAGATAAAAATAAAATACAAAAATAAAAATTTTTATCATTATTTTTAAATGTTACATATATATACATACACTCGGCCATCCGTATCTGCGGATTTTACATCCGTGTATTCAATCAACCTCGAATCAAAAATATTTGGAAAAATTCAGCAAGTAAACTTATATTTGCTTGTATTTTAAATATTTTGTGTTTTCTTTTTCATATCATTAAGTGAAAACAATATGTAAGTGTTGAAAAAAATATTACATTGTTTCTGACTATACTAACTTATGTGTATTGAACACGACGTACAATACATAGGTTATATGCAAATACGTCACCATTTTATATAGATTTGAACATCCGCGATTTTGGTATCTGCAGTGGGCCCTGGAACCAATTCTCCTCGGATACCAAGGAACAACCATATATATGTTTTATTAATAAATGTAATGATCAGGACAATTTTAACATATAAAAATACAGTATTCCCAAGTAGAAGAAACAATAAATGTCTTCATATTTTGTCCTTTTCCAACAGGATATTTTAAGGCCAAAAGGTCGTCTTTTCCCGTAAAAATTGGTCTGTTCCCGAGGCGTTGAAAAAGGGCAAAGTACGAAGACATTTATTGTTTCTTCTAATTGTGAATATTTTTATATAACTTACATACATGTGTTTCTATGATGATAAATAAAAACTAATTTTATGGATTCTGATACATTATTAATTAAAGATGATAATTGTCTGTACATTTACCGGATTTACCTAAATCAATTTATTTCAAAAACATTCATTCAAAATATGGTTTGTTATTCTCAAGGCAAAATGCTCTTCCGATGGATACATTGACAGAGTTTTTTTTTTTGTTTCTCGTTGCTTAGTTTCATAAACTCTTTGCGTAACTTATAAATACTTCTTAGTCTCCAAATTTCATGGTTTATGTTGATATACTGTATCCCTGATAATGGATCGTATGGATTTAAATTTGGCTATCGAGATGGTCATTCAGTTGTCCCGCGACATCCTGTCCACATGGACAACGTTGATTCCAAGAAATCAGAAACATCGCGTAATTGTGTGGCATAACAACATTTTGCCAAATGAAATTTGCAAAATTTGGATGTATCAATAGTTCATTGCCTCGTTGTATTTTCAGCATATACTATATATATTTACATATTTTTATATATACAAAATGTCAATTGTAATAGTATATACGTAAGATATAATAAATATGATCAATAAAATATGAATACGACATTAGGAAGAAAATATATTCTGATTTATTTCGATATTTATCAGTCTCAATACGAGAAAATACCAAATGCTATATATCATAATTTAGTATTTTATCGAAAAAAAAATGTTTAGAAGAAAAATGTATACTGTATATACCTGTATTTTTTGATTGTTCTAAACATCTAAATATATATTATTTTTTTCGTTTTAACTCCCCCTTTTCCCTTTTTAACAAGCCCATTATGTGTTTGGCCAGGCCAACAATGGGGCAGCCGGGGCCCGACACATCCGCACTCCCCAAAAAATTTTGGTGGTTTTCTATCCGACCAGATTCGATTACACGTCTCCCGGAGCGGTTGTACAGTACTCATCAGTGGCCGAGTGAATAAAACTACTAAACACTAGCCGCTTGTCAATCTGGCCGTCTGCGTATTTAACTATTCTATATATTGTTAATTATTTAAAATTTTTATTTAACAATTGTCAATCAATTAATCCAATTTATTATAATAGTGAAAATAGTCATTAATCTATAATCATTGAAGAATTAAAATATTTAAATTATTCTATAAGATGTTAAAAATTCAGAGGTGTCGCTGATAGCAAAAATGTGATAAATATCATCTGTTTTTCATATGAAAGTAATATCTTTGAAAATTGGATTTTTAAAATGCGATTTCTCATTTGGTATTAATGTAAATAAGTAAATTTTTTTAATGGTTTAATTTTGAAAGATTAGCTTATTACTTTGCAATTTAAATTTTTTCGTATTTTCAGTTTTAACTTAAAACAAATATGTCTAGTCTTCCTCCGAATAATGCTTTAGGTGTACATGAATCTGATACAGAAAGGTTTGTGATTTCTTTCATATGTAATATTTAAGGCATTGTGACAATTATGTGTTTACGTAATGTGAATATTATAATTAACTTAAACTGTAATCTTTGTAGATTTTCAGATTAAAATTAAATAGCAATAAAAAATTATTCGTAAGTATATGAAAATTGTATATTGTGACAAAATTATTTTAACGCAAAAACTTTTCAAATATTAATAAAACTTGATTAATCAGTATATCAAAGATAAACTGTACTACGCAACCGAAGTTGAACTGTATAGATAGTATAAAGATAGAAGATATATTTACATAATTACATAATCCAAAATCCTTCTACAATAATATATAAGGTGTATATGATATTGTTTAGTAGCTATGCTATACTTGATACACTGAAAACAGACAGTGTGTTTATCATATATGGATAGAGACAGAAGACATTCACATATAGAAGACAGAAGTAGAAGCGGCTGAACTTTGAGAATTTTATGTTTAATTCACATATTTAATAAATTGCATAGTAAAACATTATTATTACTAAAACTTAATTTATATTTTTTCTATTATCTTCATTTAAGTTTGTTTTGCTTAAATAAAATTATGTTTGGAAACAGTGGCATATCCAGGATTTTGAGAATATTGGTGCTTTTCAAAGCAGATTTGAGGAGAATACAAAGACTTGTACTCATTAAGATAATCTTCTAACAACAAAGCATTGATCATAAATAAAACTTATAAACCTTATTGCACTTGCATATGGTTTAAAAACTATTACGTTACTAACATTTTTGGTCTACTTCTAGGACATTCTTCAGGCAGAACCTTCTAAAATCAACTCTTTCTGGTACTAGTAGTGTTTCGTTTTGGAATACATGTGACTTCAACACATTCAAATTTTGAACATTTTTCTTTTTTTATAAATTTTTCCTTATATTTATCCAATCACGTGCACCTACGTTGTTTGCCATAATGTTAGGTCAAACATAGTTTTCCATGCCTTCTCTTTGGTTCTAAATTCAAATGCATTGAAGTCGTTTGCATTCCAAAGTAGAACACCAATAGTGTTGGAAAGAGTAGATTTTAGAAGGTTCTGCCTGAGGAAGATCCTAGAAGTGGACTGAAAACATTACTAATGTAATAGTTTTCAAACCACATGCAAAGTACAATAAGATTTGTAAGCTTTTAGAGTTGTATTTTTTTTTTTTTTTCTTGTTTCTTTTAGAATTGTACTCAATTACCTTAGTTACCTAACTTTTTTATAACATTCTTTCTTCATTAGCTTTTTTAAAATTGTTAAGTGGAAGATGGAAAATGGATAATTGATGATTTTAAATTGATAGATTGATTATACATAGGCTGTTTTTTTTTTTTTCAAGCTCCAATTGTCCATAAAAAAAAGACAAGTGTAAATAACAAAATGAATTTATTACCAAAATTATGGTTACTTTTCAATATAATCACCGTGAAGATTGAGGCATTTGTCCTATCTGTGGATGAGCTTTTCCATCCCCTTGTCATAGAATGTTGCCGCCAATGACTTGAGATGGATCCTAATGTTCTTTTGAAGATCGTCATCAGTCTTGAACCTCTGCCGTGGCTACCCACTTTTTCTGCTCAGAAAAGAGGTAAAAGTTGATGGGTGCTAAATTAGGGCTATACACTGGGTGTTTAAAGATGGCAAAGACTTCCACCCAGCTTAAAACTTTTTAAAGTGTGAAGACTTCCACCTCTTTCCTGAACAGGAAAAGTGGCTAGGAGGGCAGAGGTTCGAGACTAATGATGATTTTCGAAACAATGTTAGGGCCCATCTCAAGTCATTGGTGCAACATTCTATGACAAGGGGATGGAAAAGTTCGTCCACAGATAGGACAAATGCCTCAATCTTCAGTGATTATGTCGAAAGGTAACCATGTTTGTACCTAACTTTTAGTAATAAATTCATTTTGTTATTTACACTTGTCTTTTTTATGGACATCGGAGCTTGAAAACAAAAACTGCCTTCGTATAAGGAGTAATTTTTCATCAGAATCGAGAGGTTTCAACAGTCATCAAACCTCAACATTTAATAAGATGAATTGTAAGTATATTTTTCATATATTTAAAAAAAATTAAATTCCATCCTTTCCAAAAAGTATTTGAAGGAACGAGTGTTAAAATATTATTTCAAAATTGTCATGTTTTAATTTACTCAAAAAATTTTTATTTTAAAAAATTATTAAAAAATTTTCTGAAAAATTAATTTAATTTAGTGATCAGTATAGTATGGCCCAATATTTTTTCAGAAAAATTAATTTACTTAAAATTTGTGATCAGTATGGCACAAACCACTACTACTAGTGTCAAATAACTTACCATATAATTATTTATAGTAATAGTAATAATATAACCTGAACTAATCCATCAATCATTTGGCTTTAATATAAAAAACCATTGAAACCTGTATGAATTATTACAATTATAAAATCTACTTACAGTAATTAGGTATATATCTGGTGTGGATATAGGCACATAAGTTATACACAAAACATTGTTTTAACATCAAATGATGAATTTTAATTTGAAGATATGAATATCATAAATCATTATTAAACATTCATTTTTAGTAATTCAAGTACTTTTGTTATTACAAAATAATTTCTGTGCAACACAGAAAACAGTTCAATAACATCAAAGCACAATTATTGTTTAATTATTAACAAAAAAAGCAATTACAGTTAATAAATCAAAAATTTAAGTTATGGAAATTTTTACTAAATTGAAGTAATCAAGATATATATTTCTCAATTTGTATGAATAATTTGTGTAATATCAGGTCAGTCCATAAGTTTGTGCATATTTTATGACCTTGAGAAAAATCTTGTTTTGCTGTTAAAAATGCCAGTCTAATGTGATACTTTTTACACTGAAGTGTTAAATTGGATCTCATTCATATAATGCTGTTCAGAATTGGGAACATTTCAGTTGTTTATTTTCGTTAAAATGGAAGTAACAGATGAATATAAGAGACATGTTTTATACTTTTTATTTTTAAGTGATGAGAATGCTACAAATGCAGCCAAAAAATTAAATACTGTTCATAATCAAACTGTAATTAGTGTAAGGACTGCNAAAGCTGAAATTTTTTGCATACATTCAGTGGCTCTCGGTATGTGCTTGCTCCTTTAGTTACGTGAAGAATGTCCAATCAATAACTGATTTCCTGCCAGGTACTGTTTCAACAGGATGATGAATTTTCTCACTAGACCATTTCCTTGCATAATTTACTTGATACAATGTTTCCTGAATGATGGATTGGCTTTGTGTACCATGCCCTGGCCCCTAGATCACTTGACATAATTCCACTGGATTTCTATCTAGTGGAATTATGTCAAGTGGGTTATGTAAAAGAGATTGTGTACTGAACACCAGTTTGTAATGTTACTGTTTTGAAAGAAAGGCCAAATATTTAAATATATCTATTTTTGTTTTTAATTATTCAATAAATATTTAATGTTAATAAGGTCATTTCTATTGTCTCAGCATGGAATCCTACAACTCTATGTATACAATTTGTTTATTTGTATACCTTCTGCTCTCATTAATTATATTCTCTTCCATCAGTATATTGTTTCTAGTTCTTTCCTGAACCAATGTTGAAGTCAGTCTTCTGTGTATCATTCTATCATGTTTCCTGGCCCACTCTGATCTTTAATAGGTTATGGTTCTAAAAAATAGTCTGATGATTCACATTGAGAGTGATGAAATGCCTTATATATTGCAAGTATTCAGTTGATATAAAAAGTATGTAATTAACACAGATATGATTTATATCCTAATTGATATATAAATAAAGGAGTCAGAGTCTGAAAAGAGTTTGAGTCAAAGCATTTGTGTACAGACTCTGCAACCCTGATTAAAATTATCTATTAATATTGATGACTAATAATATCCAACTCACCAAATAAACCATATCCAGTTCATAAGCTAGCAAAAAAATTTTTTCTACGAACGTTTTCGTCTATATGTAATAGACATTCTCAGGTATTGACAATATAGAACTAACGGCTAGTCAAATAGAATGTCTATTAAATATAGACGAAAACGTTCGTAGAAAGAATTTTTCTGCTGGCTTATGAACTGGATATGGTTTATTTGGTGAGTTGGCTATAATTGATGACTAATAATGTTTTCAATGATTTTTTTTAATAATTATACTTTATAGTATAAATTGCTTATATAATATTGTTTTTAATTAATAAAATTATTTTTATCATAAATTTCAAAATAATTTTCAAAATTAATTTTAATATATTTTATTATTTAATTACAGTAGACGTACTTGTTGGGTATGTTTAGCAGTAGATGATGATGATCTTGATGCTGAATGGTTGCAGCCATGCCAGTGTCGTGGAACAACAAAATGGGTTCATCAGATTTGTCTAGAAGATTGGATTGATTCAAAACAGTCAGGCAATAGTAGAACAAGTGTTTCATGTCCACAATGCAATACTGAATATATTATAATATTTCCATCCTTGGGTAAGGAATTTTAAATTGTTTAATATTAAAAGCAATGCCTAAAAATTCCAGTATTAAGTCAGCTTCAATTTTTTTTGTCTAAAGCATGCAAAATATAAAAGTTTTCTATTTAAAAGTATCTTATGTCATCTTATTTTAATTGGTTTTAAAGTGAACACTTTTGTAAAAAAAAGAAATTGTCATTTTTTTATTGATTTAGCTAATAAATGATGTTGCAATGCAAATTATGATAATGTCAATTCTTAACAAATTGATCAAAGAATTCTGTAAAACTTGATACTGTATTCAAATATCTGAAAGTAACTGCTAACTTACATTGTAAAAGAATACAAAACATTACAGACTTTTAGTTATTTATTTTTTTATTTAATTCTTAAAGAAATTTGTTATATTAACATGTTAAACAAACTGTCTTTTGGTATTAATTATTTTTTATTATAAATGTGAAGTATATACACAAGTACTTTTGACAATGTATTATCATCTTTGTCAGGCAAGAATTTCTTGCATAATATTGGGTTGTTCAGAAAGTAATTTCGTTTTTTTTTTTGGAAAAAAAGCAATTTTCTTGTAATATATAAATATTTTATTGAATTATATATTAATGTTTTGGTCAAATATCTGTTGCCATCTTTCTGTTAGTAGCATGATTCCACATTCATAAAAGTTTTGATCTTTGCTTACAAAAAACTGATCCAATTGATTTTTGACATTTTCATTTGAAGTAAATGTTTTACTGTTTAAAAAATTTTGTAAAGACCAGAACAAGTAATAATTTGAGGTTGCCAGATCTGGTGAATATTGGGTATGGTAGCACATCCCATCCAAGCTGTAACAGTTTCTTATGGGTTACCAAACTTGTGTGAGATCTGGCATTATCATGTTGAAACACTACACCTTTTCTGTTGATCAATTCTGGCCTTTTCTGTTTGATGGTATCACTCAATTTGTCCATTTGATGACAATACACTTTCAAATTAATTGTGAAATTGTCTGGTAGAAGCTCAAAAAAAAATAATTTCTTTAAAATTCCACCAAAGAGAGCATATCTTTCTTTAAGAACAAGCATAACCCATATATCAAGCTTTGAAACGAAACAGAGTCATTTTAAGTGATCATAAATGGTTCAGTTTCAGAAACTTTTCTTAGTGATTTCTTGTGTTGTTATTTGGCGGTTTGCTTCAATCAATACCTTTATTTTGTCTTCATCAGCTTCAACTGGCCTTCCAGAACATGATACATTTTCAATATTGAAATTGCCAGAACAAAATTTTGTGAACCAGTTTTGGTACTATTGTTCTGTCAACACATCTTCATACATGTCACACAATTTTTTTTTTTTTACTTTAACAGCATTTTTATTTTTTTGGTAATAAAAAAGCAAAATATTCCAAAAATTCTGCTTTAAATTTTCCATATTTGATGGGACACCAAAAAGAAACAATTGCACAGAATCAAACAAAATTTTTTACAAATAACCCCTGAAATATCAGATCAGTCATAAGTTCATGCATATCAATTTTTATCTACAAAAAAAGCAACAAAAAATTTTAATTAAATTTTATTTCAATCTATAATGTATTCACTATTGTTTTGTACAATTTCTTGTCATCTTGATGGTAGCTTTTTAATCCTGTCTTTATAAAATGATTTCAGTTTTGAATCAAAATATTCAGAAATAGCCTTTTTTGTTGTTCTCATCCTCAAAAGTTTTCCCTTTTAAAAAATTCTGCAAACTGCAAAAAAGATGATAATCATTTAGAGCAATATCTGGTGAATATGGTGGATGAGATAAAATTTGTAGCTTTTGAGTTTCTGTACAGTTATTTTTGCATCGTGTGGTCTGGCATTGTCATTTTGCAAGAGAACCTGTTTCTATTCAGTAATGATGGTCAATTTTTTTTCAATTTCTCACAATACATTTGAGCTGTAATTGTTTGATTAGGTTCTAACAGCTCAAAGTGAATTATACCTGACATATCCCAGACAAAAGAAATTTTTTGGATGCAACCCACCTTTTGCAGCCAGTTTTTGGCTGCTTGATGTGATTCGTCCATTGTCTTTTTCTCATCACATTATTATAGAGGATTCACTTTTCATCTCCAGTAACCAATTGATCAAGAAAAGGTTCTAAAGGAACTAGTAGCCAGGAATGCCCCCTAGTGGGCGTTCTTTACAAATTTCCATGAGGCACGGTTCCTTTGACTTTTTTGTTCCTATCAATATGCTCTACAGCTCTGTAAAAGTCCGAATGGTAAGATTTACCCTCCGAATGAAGAGGTGGCGATCCCCCCAAACTGTAGCCCCCTGNGATGAAATTGCGGAACGTTTAAATTCATCCCATGGAACTGTTCATAGACATCTACCACAAGTCAGAAAAGTTTCAAAGCTAGGAAAATGCTAACTGTCCACATGAACTGTCAATAGCTAACTGACAACAACATCAACTGCTCAACTCAAAAGCTTCAACTGGGAAATTTTACCTCATCCACCATATTTGCCAGATATTGCTCCCAGTGATTATCATTTTTTTTTTGCAGTTTGCAGAATTTTTTAAAAGAAAAACTTTTGAGGATGAGAAAGGCTATTTCTGAATATTTTGATTCAAAACCGAAATCATTTTACAAAGACGGGATTAAAAAGCTACCATCAAGATGGCAAGAAATTGTACAAAATAATGGTGAATACATTATAGATTGAAATAAGATTTAATTAAAAATTTTTGTTGCTTTTTTTGTAGATAAAAATGCGCACGAACTTATGGACTGACCTGATATATATTCTTAATTCTAATATCATATCCTTCTAATAAATTAACTGTGCTTTTGTATTAAAAATTCTTGGAGAAGAAAATAATGAAAACAACTTTTTATGTAGTACAGTATATATATATATAGTGCACTCTTGCTAATCCAAACTGATTATTGCATGAGGATTGTTTTGGGTTAGTGAAAAGTCAAATTAGACTGTAAACAAATATGTATTTAAAAAATTTTTATACTTGTGTACTACACATTTTAATACCTAAACTGTAAAATTAATATGTACTGTACATGTTTTTAAAAAATCTATATGATTAGTTTTTGATTGGAATATTTAGCAGAAAATTGAACTAAATTGATTTGGATTAAATGGAGTTCAGATTAGCACAGGTTTGGATTAGTAAGAATTCATTATATTAAAATTGATGTTTACATAGCAGTGTTTCTTATAGTATGGAAAATATTTTTAAAGTACACAAGTTAATTGCTAGAAAAATAAAAGATGCTGTTTTTATATTTTTTAAATATAAAAACAGCATATTTTAATATTTGTAAATGTAATATATAATATATCACATTTACAAATACTACTATATGATACTATCTAATCATCTGGCTTGCAATCAATCTTACTTGCAGCTTTTTATTCAGGATGGTAAGAATAATCCAAATGACTGTTGCATTGAAATTATTCAATTGAGTTACTATGATGCCCACTTTTTAATTTCTTCCTAAATAATATTTGTAAAACTATTTTTTTTTTCCTTAAAAAAATAAATTTTGGATGTTAAAAAGTTTACACACACTGTTTCTTAATTTTGATTTTAATAAATTAAGTAATTCCTTGGAGTATAGTAATGTTTATCCAAAAATAACTTATAAGTTAAGAGAGCAACAAGAAGTTAAAACAAAAGCAAATTTATTCTATGATCTTTTAATATTTCTATGTCAGTGTTAGCTAATTTTTGGAATTATGCAACTTGTCCTTTTTAAGAAAAAAAGGATGGCATAATAAAATATTTTTTACATTGTTTATTAAATAATACAATGAATGTATAAAATTTTAATCTGAAACTCACTTATTTTGAAATAAATGAAAATACAAAAACAGTCATGTATATTTAGTCCATTCAATATTGGATCACTCTTCAAAAAGAGAAGTGGGAGAAAAAATTAAATTATTTTTAAGAGGAGTTGATTCAGAACAATATTTTACATATCTGAATATTTTAAATTTCAGTTTACAAATAATATATTTTAGAAGAGTTCACATACAAATTATTTACACATAACTGTTATGATACTGCTGTCTGACAAACAGATATCTAAGTGAGGAAGGAGGGAATTCAATAATCGTATTAAGTACAATATGCTGTAGTAAAATTTAATCAGTTTGTATGATGTATGAAATAGGATTATCAATGACATTCTCCTTGTCATAGTTTTCATTTTTGTAATTCTTTTAGTAAGTTAAAAAAAAATTATGTTGCAGTTTTGATTTTTTTTGTTTTACTAATTTATAGGATATTGAAAAATGTATTAATAATGATTATTTAATTGAAATTAGAGATGAGAAAATAAATATGTGAATACTCAAGTACTGTGTTGATAAAAAATAAATTTGAAATCTATGAATACCTCCAGTATTGGGCCCTATGCAGTGGTGGATCCAGAAGTACCCAAAAGGGACTAACTCAAATTAAAATATTTGAATAATTAATAAATACCTTTTATTAACATACACATGATAATAGTAGTGCAGATTGTCTAATAAACCATATTTTCCATTATAAATGTTTTTTAAAAATAAACTATCACACACAAAACCGTTTAACCAGTAATTGAACTTTAATGTAATTTTCAAATGTTTTCGGCCTTTGCCAAGGCCTGCCTCAGGTGTTTAACAAAACTGACTTCCAAAAATTGGAATGCTAGAATGATGATGCTTGACTTTAAACTTTGAATATATCAAATTCATGCGATTGATTGACTTCATTTGAATTTCTTGTACAAATATTTCCACGCATGTGCCATGTTTTTTAAAAGCAATGTTTTGAAGTTCAAACAAATTTAAATTTTTTTTGTGTCAATGGTATTGTATCTGCCACTGCATACAGAGAGCCTTTTTAGTTCTTTGGTTTAATTTACGACATGAAAAGAAGCAAACTAGATTCTGAATGTTTTCAAATTTGTTTCCCTAAATAAAAATCTGCAGTAGGCATGTATGAGAACATTTAT